GAGAGAGAGAGAGAGAGAGAGAGAGAGAGAGAGAGAGAGAGAGGAACTTGTTTCCTTGTTCCTAATGCATTGCTACAGGATTCCTTTCATTTTCTTTTTTTGACTGCGGAGCATAGAAAATTATTTTCCTTTATTTGGAAAATGTTTAAAACAGGCAAGTAATGGCATGGAGTCCAACTGGCTATTTGTTTGTGTTATGCAATTTCATAATATTTTCATAATATTTTTAATACTAAATGTTCTGCTTTTCAAGAATGTAATTGCTACTTTGTGCGTATATGTGTGTATATTTTTATTCCAGTATGATTCTGTAGCTGTCCGCATTTTGTACATGCAAATAGGTTTTCTTTTGTCTGGACTGTAGTTCTTTAATGATGGGATAAATCACAGAATAAGACTGGAATTCTAACTATTAATGATTATCATCTTAGACTACCTGTAAACATATAATTGCCATTCTTGGGAAGAGATTCTAGGTGGAATTTATATTCTTTTGTAGTGGGATTGGATGGAGAAAGATTGGATAAAAAGACTTAAAAGATTGAGAACCACTGCTTTTTTTAAAAAAAAATTCTCATTCAAATCTGCAAGTATCCTCAGAAGAAAAAAACCCAAAGAAGCAGCTTATTTTATTAGAAGTTGGTAGGATTATGTGTCGCAACCATTCTAGGCTTATGCTTGCTGAACTGCCCTAGGTTTTCTTTTTCTTACAATTTTATACAAGGGTATTTTTGTAGGAAAAATTGCTACAACATGATTGCAAAGTAAACTCTTGGAAGGAAACAAATATAAGCAATATAAGCAGTGCAACATTATTTTACAATCCTAAATGCCCTCTCCTAGAATCAAATCTTATTGAAAGCATGATGTTCTGATGTTCAGTAATTAAGAAAAATTAGAGCACTTGTAAAGGCGTTGTTTCCTTTTTTTTTGGTAAATTTTTTTGGTTTTTTAAAGACAAAACATAAATGAACAAAACATAAAAACATCAAACTTTCTTCCATAAGCGTACAAGCAGTGTGCCGATTGGTTTACAAATTTTTTTGTGCATCCATTTCATAGTCTTCAATTACAGTTACATTTACATAATAGCTCATATTATCAATCAAAAATTGAATACCCTAGTATCATTATTAATCATTTGACAATAATTTTATTCATTCATATTTTACAAGATAACTATAATTTACTTAATTTATTTTATAGCAATTCATATAATCCTCCCAAATCTATCCTAAAAACATTTTGTAGATATAATGAAAAAAAGAAAAAGAATATACATCTTTATATATTTATTATTTTCTAAAATTCTGTATATTCCATTATTGTATTTTATTATCTAACCATTGATAGAAAAGGTCCCAAATTTTGTAAAATTGTTTATCCTCTTGTTCTCTAATTTCAAATGTCAATCTACTCATTTCAGCACATTCCAATATTTTCTTAATGATTTCCTCCTGCGATGATATTTTCTCATTTTTCCAATTTTTAGCAAATACAATCCTAGCCACTGTTAATACATTCACAATCAGGTATTTCAAGTCTTTGCTATATGTATCAGGTAAAATTCCCAATAAAAATATCTCTGGTTTCAAGTCTATAAGTTTTTTTGTCATTTTTTCCAACCACATGTGGATTTTAGTCCAGTATTTTCTAGCGTCCGCATAAGTCCACCACATATGAGCCAGGTGTCTGATGACATTTCCAACATTTTTCGGATTTGTTCTTGAACATTCTTGCTATTCTTGTCGGGGGGAAATGCCACCTGTAAAACATCTTATACAAATTTTCTTTATATGCTGTTGACATTGTCATTTTATAATTTTGAGACCACAATTTTTGCCATTTCTCTAAGTCAATCCCATATCCAAAATTCTTCCCCCAAGAAGGTGTTGTTTCCTATGTCTATATAAAATCCCATTGAATTCACCAATATTTATTTTTCAGTGAAAAAGGACAGATTTTTACTTTTACATATATCATGATTGGATAGCTTATTCCCATATTTTCTATAAACAATATTTTCTCAATTATACGCTAAATTTCTATAGCATTGTATAGTTTCTAGCTTAGATCTGTTATTATATCCAGGTGAAGATAATAAATAAACATTATTGAGTCATCTTCCTAAAGCAGGGTCCAAAAATTAAGTAATAATTTACTTTCTCCCAACTTTTGGTATTCAGGCTTTTACTACTTTTATATGACAATGTCTGTCTTTAATTTCAAATTCTCTTAAAATACAACCTTTTGAGTAATCTAACTTCGTTTTTCCACTTTCCAGAAAGTAAAGCCTTGGCTGCAATTTAAAGAGTTTTTAGACAAGCAATTTGATCGATACATATTATAAAACCGAATCACCAAATTTTTCCATTTGCTGCTTTCCATGCTGTTTCAAAACTAATGTAGTAAAAACTCTGTTCCAATATAAATTAGGTCAATTTACTAGGACCCTACCTGTCTTACCTCCGAAGATGAAAGTGGGAGGGGAATATATACATATTAAGGGAATAAGATAATTAAAGATTATATTCTTTTTTTTTTAGTGATCACTGGAGCAGGAGATGGAATTGGAAGAGCCTACTCCTTGGAGGTAGCAAACGTGTATTTCATGACCAAATATTTTGGGCTTAGATTAGAATACATTCTCATACACTTTGTAAATATTTTATCAGTAATACTGTGCCAAAATTCTTCTTCCAACTTGAAAGATATTTTTCCTTGCCAAAGATGTGTCAAGTTTTTTTCAGTTCATTCCTGGATTGCTAGTATTATAGTTACAGGGGCCTTAATAGTATTTGTGGTTCTATACAATGGTGGGATTCAAATAATTTAACAATCAGTTCACCCAAGGTCAGGTTGGCTGTTGTGGGCAGCAGGGCCATCCTCCAGCTCTGCCGCACATGCGGGACAAGCAACCTGACCCTGGATGAACTCATTGTTAAATAGCCCCCCACCGCCCCCATCAAAGTGGATCTTTGGTGCTGTGCTGCAATGGAGAAACTGAAAATGGAGTGGCCAGTATGAGGGAAGGAGGGAAAGCTCCTTTCCTCATACCAGACGCTCCGTTGTACCATTTCTTCATTGCAGCACAGCGCCCAGGATTCACTTTGATAAGGGGGTGGCTAATTTAACAACAGGTGTGTGTGAACCTGTATGAACCGGCTGAATCCCACCACTGGTAAATCTGTCTACCTTTCTGGTACATGCCCATGCATGCCCCTGAATGGTAGAAAAAAAAAAATTTCCCTTTTCTTTGGATTTAATTGACATTGGAGAACTACTATAGGTAGGCTATAGATCATCGGCAGGGTGGTGGCAGAGTGAAAGATTTGCCATTCACCCCACTGCTGAAGGACAACTTTAACTAACCCTGCCCCAACCATGACAATTCATTTAAATTTCTATTTGCATTGGACTCTTTTATAAAGTAATTTCTTTTCCATCAATTTGCATAACAGTAAAAAGTATCGAATCATGACTGACTTTAGGGGCACAATGCTGACCTCCATTTCTTAACCGATGGAGCCAGCATTGTCTGAAGACAATTTCCATGGTCATGTGTCCAGCATGGATATATGCCAAAGGTGCTCAGAATGCTGTTGACTTCACACCAAAGTGGTATCTATTAATCTACTCACATTTGCCTGCTTTCGAACTACTAAATGGACAGGACCTGGGGCAGGAATGGGAGCTCACCCTGTTGTGCAGTGCCTGCATCTTGAACCTGGGTTCAAGCTCAGTGTCTTTAATCATTGAACCATCATGCTGCCTCTTGCATAAGAACAGGAATACAAAAGATACTTTAAAAATACTTTACTTTAATACAGGGACAATCCATTGCCTATCATAATTATCTAGGTTCAGAACAACTTGATACAAACACAGACTGTGTTCTTCATGATAAAGATTTCTATGGACGTGACTAAGCATGGCTTCAAATCCAGGAAGTGAATTAAGCTCTTTATCAATAAGTTGATATCATCAGATGCTTTCCATGGCATCAGTTCCAGAGGGTGAGATGAAAGCCACCTGTTTGCACAGAATATTGCTATTCCAGCTGAAGTCGGGACCTATGTGTGCTGGAACATACCAAACAACAAATTGGTGAAACTCAATATGCTTCTTTTGTAGATATTTATGTTAAGTTTTATGACACCATATTTTTAAACCAGGAAAGAAAATAGCTTAAAAAATTTAAAAGGTAAAAAACAAAGTATTTTGATAGTCACCCTATAATATATAATCTTTAATATAATCTTGGATATTCTATATACAGAGAAGAAAATTTTGATATCATTTTTGTAACACAATCATACAAAGATTGATCAATTGATTACATGCAGAAATATTTCTGGTTCTAGAAACCACATTGATTTTCTCCATGAAATCATATAAAGAGATTTATTAAATTTTACACAGTAAATATGTAAAGATATCCCCTCAACTACCCATGGTCAGTGTTCTGACCAAGGCTTCCTAAAACTGTAATTAAGCACACACTTAGTCAAAATAACTCTTGTTTTATTTCAATGCTGGGAATTATGTTCATTCCCACCCCATAATGTGTCCCAAACAGTCCCTAGAGATAAGCACCCACCTTTATCTCCTTTGAATTGTTGCCAACAACTAAAATGCCAAATTAACTGGAAAAAAACCCAACTGAAGTATAAAGTCCACACAGAGCTTCAAGGTTTAATCTGAACAGAGCGAACAACTGTGCTTCCTGCAAAGGTTTCTCTATCTTTGCACCTCCTTTATACCTTAGGGGAGGAGCAACCACCTCCAAGCCTTACTCCCAAGTCACCCCTTTTGTCTCAGCTGCTGTTGCCTTCTAGCAGTTCTGTGCACACGCGCACTGGGAACAGCCTTCCCTTGCTGCAGCCAGACTCCGGAGGCTCCACAGTCAGCATACAACTCCCAGATGGTCCTGTCCCCATCTCTGCATTGGACGCAGGACCCTCATCTGAGTCCTCCCCGGACTCCTGGACTGGTCCCCATTCCTGTCTGATTCTGCTGCCATCTGCACAGGCTGCCGGCAAACCACAACACTCAGTTCTTCTAAATGGCGGGACTGAGTTTACAGCACTTAAGCATGTTTTTTCACATAGGAGGTGCTCCATTAATTCAGCATCAAATTTTAAATATTGCTAAACTTTGTTTTTCAGCTTGCCAAGCATGGGTTGAACGTGGTTCTCATAAGTCGGTCACTCAAAAACATGGAGAAGGTAGCCTTGGAAATTGGTACGTATCTAAAAAAGAAGGAACTTTGCCCAATATGTCTCATGTTCACATTGTAGCCTCACAGCAAAAGAATTGTTCATTAGAATGAAGCAAAAATGATACAAAACAATGAGCAAGCTTTCAAGTCTAATCTGACTGAATGTTACATTTAGAGAGAAAGAACTACACTGGTTTAATACTGCATGCAGAAAGCTTTAAGTTCTAAAATAATGCCTGGGTAGGGATGCCAGAATTAATTCAGTTAAATTCAAATATGTGAGATTTCATTTTATTTTTTAAATGAACCATCATAGCTTCCTATACAAGTTATCCTTACATTCAATCTGCAGTTGGGACTAGCAGTTCATTAAGTGAATCACGGTGGGTTAAGTACAGCATCATTTGACCTCAATTTGCAACTTCCTGCCAGCTTCCCCATTGACTTTGCTTGATGGCAGCTGGCTGTGAAGGCCGCAAATAGTGATCACAGCTGTTATGGCAGCTGCAACTTTGAGGCCAGATCACAAATCATCTTTTTCAGCACCATTGTAAGTCACTGAACAAATGGTCAGAAAGTGAGAACTACATGTATTATGTTTCAAATGACATTGTGATCAATAGATCAAAATAATGCATTATATTGTTCTAAGGCTAATTTTATTGAATTGACATCAGTGGTGACATTCAATTTTTTTTACCACCGGTTCTATGGGCGTGGCTTGGTGGCATGGCAGGGGGAAGGATACCATAAAATCTCCAGTCAGAGGTGGTATTTGCCGGTTCTCCAAACTACTCAAAATTTCCACTACCAGTTCTCCAGAACTGATCAGAACCTGCTGAATATTACCTCTGACTGACATGTTATCAGTTAAAGAAACCTTGCAACAACAGTGAAGGTAAACTTGTCCCATGATTCACTCTATCTTCCTCAAGAAAATGCTACTGAATCTAATAGCAAAACTCCATAAACTGCTGGCAGACAAAAATTGATTTATTCATGGCACAACATGTGCTTACTTTGTGTCTTAATTACTAAGGATTTGACCAACTTTTATTAATATTAAAGCTTATTTGCTAAGGTAAACAAAATTCACGTCAAATTTTAGTCAAAGTTACAATAAATTTTGGAAGCTGTTTCTTATTCATTGTGTGATTTCCAGCACTGGGTGAGAATTAATTGAATATCTGATATTAAGTTGTATAGTAACCAGTTTCCAATGGTTTTGCCATTCTCATAATCAGCAAATTGGCTCCAAATATATTTAAATGGAGGTAATATTCCAGGTAAGGTCCCTACTATGGTGTGCACATAGATTTAATCTATTTAAACTTAAATCAATTATAGGGGGAAAATAAATTAATATAAAACCTCCTCCTTCTCCTCCATGCAGAACAAACGACTAAGAGAACTGTGAAAATCATACAAGCTGACTTCACAGATAATGACATCTATGAAAACATTGAAGAAAATCTTCAAGGATTAGAAATTGGAATTTTGGGTAAGTTAACCAAGAATAGGAAAATGAAGTTGTCAAAAATTCAACTGGTTCAAAGAGATGTTCCTTTTTATGAATTAGTTACATGTAACCATTTTTTTTGAACTCGGGTGAGTTTTTTTAAAAAAGTCATCCATCAATAAAAGCAACCAGTGACAAGTGAAAAGAATTTGCTTTTTAACCACTATTTTGGTTGGGAATACTAATAGAAGCAATTTTTGTCAGTTGCCCTTTTTACCTTTTCTTTATAAAGGAACGTGTTACCTGTCCAGAGTTAGAAGTCTCTGTTCTTCTGACCCTGATGGACCAAAATCCCACAAGCACTGTACCTTGTTGAGTCACAGCCAGCTTTTTCCTATCCAAGGGCTTACAACCTCCAGGCATTAAGTTAGCACCTGATGAGCATCTCTTGCCCAGCATGGGGTAGAAGTATATAATTGGGTATCATCTACACATCAGCTTACTGATGATACCAAATCCCATGTTGGTGAATGACCTCTCCCAGTGGTTTCTTATGAATTAGATAGGGGAAGAGAGAGAGAGGCTTGTGTCATTAAGTACCCCACATAATAGGGGCCCAGGATTGGACCCCCTCCTCCCCCACTAGCATTGACTGCTACCAACCACAGAGAAAGGAGGAGAATCACTGCAAAATAGTGTTCTCCACTCCAAGTTCCTGGAGCCAGTTCAACAAGGTCAATAGTATCAAAAGTCACTGAGAGACCAGAAGAACCTTATCAACACCCCACCCCCCCATCCAAAGCCCTCCAAAAGTTGAACATATATGCTACCAATGCTGCTTGGTACTATAGCTCAGCCTAAATCATACTAAACATTCCAATAAATTACTCAGGAAAACATTGTATGTGATAGTTTCTCTCCTTGTATCTTTTAAATTTAGATACTATTAAATTGTCTTCATCAGACAGACATGGTTGATCTGACATTATTAAAAAAACAACACTCAACAATCATGTTTGTCTGAATGGTTTCTGTGTATTCTGTGTCTTCAGAAAAAAAGACTGGGTCAGGGCTGGGAACCTATTATAGGAAGCTGGTTATTTCATCAAAAAAGGCAAGGGTCTCTCCCTGCCCCCCCCTTTTTTTTTCAGGAGAGAAAAATGGACCTTTGCCTTAAAAAAATACCAATACAACTTAAGAGGCAGGAGTTCTGGAAACCAAAAGATTGGGACTTTGGGTTGCATGTGATCCAGAGGCTCTAATGGTTTAACTGTACTTCATGATTCTAATTTGCTTTTTTCTTTTCTTTTTTCTTTTTTCTTAGTTAACAATGTTGGAATGCTACCTAATCGTTTTCCATGCCATTTTCTTAATATTCCAGATAAAGATGAGGTAAGGATTCTTCTATAATACAAATAAGATCATGTATTTGTGTTTTCACACAAAATGTAGTATCAGCAACACTATGTAGATCAGACCAGAAAATCAACTCCACAAGGACCATAAAATTATACTTTATTGAGTTGAGCTGTAACACAGAGTATTTATTGTAAGCTCAGCTGTGTTTTACTATCTCTCCTCCTTATATTCCAGCATTCAAGGTTCAGCTTCTTTCCAAATATTTTCTTATTTATCAGAGCTTAAATGATTTCAGGTAATAGCTCTAGTATATTTCTATTGTGATCATCTCTAAGTTTTGTTGAAGTATATAGATAGCCAATAAACAAGTTTTCTAAATTCTGATTGAAGCTTGATTGACACTTGAATTGTTTTTTTTTTTCTGAAGAGAGAGTTCAAGCACAGAGTAAGCCTGGATTCACTATACAAATGCCAAAGGGCTAGGACTGACTCCTAATTTTCTCGGAGTTTTATCTATTTGTTCCCAACAGAAGGTTTCTAGTCTGGGGCGATTCCTGTATTATAGGCAGAACATAATAAAATAGTTTATTTGAACTCTGCATGTGTAGGTTTGGTTGTTCTTGCCCGACATTTTAACAAGAATCAAACATGCATTTCTGGACACAATTGGATGTTTGAGGAAGTGTAACGGAACATCGCCAAATTGGTTGTTTTGGATCATAGGCAGTCAAGATGTTTATTTCTGCACCAAAATACCAGTTTTATAGAAAGGAGAAATGTCAGGTTGGAGAAGACTGATGTACTACATACAAGCCATCTTGCTAAATAATGTTTGGCTTATCTTGTATAAGCAAATTAATCCTCATGAAATAGGAAGGCTCATTTAGCCTTGGTGGGAACAGATTTTTTAAACATCTCATTCTAGAAACTGAGGCCAAACTGAATTTTCTGAGCATGTTGTTTTCTTCAAATCAACACAACTGCCATGTAATCCATTTATTATTTTCAACAGGACCTCATTAATTGCAATATCATGTCCGTCACTAAGGTATGTATTAAAAAACCAGACCAGCTCTTTATGTTTGTTTACCAAAAGTAAGGCATGACATTTGAACTGAATGCAAAGAAACAGACATTGACAATGTCTGGCCTTCCACAAGTTGTTGGGTTACAACTCTTTGTCATCTCACAGATTAAGGATGGTACTTACCCCACTCTTCTCTTTCTGTTATATCATTTGCACCCAAGGATTTTCTGTCCCTCCACTTTGCTTTTATGCTGGTTCTCTTCCTCTTTGGATGTTGAAACATGACTTCAGAATGGGTATTCACTTAGGCTGGCTAAAACTGAATATGGCAAGTGCGTGATAGCAAAACAAAATTTCTAAAACTGGACATACCAGTTTTACTTTCCCATTACATCATGCAAACAAAACTATTTTAGTGATAAATACGTGAAAGCAGGTATATTAGTATCCTTGCTTATCATTTAGGCAGTGTAGGAAAGTGTAGATTTTCAGTGGCATAATTTCTCACAATGTTCTTTATAAAACAAAATGGGTGCTAGTTTAAAGCACCAACAGGCTTAAAACCTGTATTTCACCTCCAAACACCATACAAAATGATTGGATTGTTTTTAATCATGTCTCCTTCAATAGAAAAATTGTTTGTCCTTATCTTTAATCAGCTGAGATTTATGTAAACATGAAGGTCAACTTTCAGTTTTTTTAGCTGGTGGGCAGTAATAAGACTGTTCTTGTGTATCTGTCATAAATCCTTTCTTTGTGTACAATAGCTTTACTTCAGCAGAAAGATCACTGGCTGATCTTTTCCTTCCTTTTAGTAGTATTATAATGCAGCATTTAGTTCTTGACTCTTATCCTGGAAAAACTAGGAATTCTTTCTTAGCAATTTGGGACAGCAGCAGCACTTGAACTGATGTAATTTCATAACAGTTTTAGCTGATAATATGATACTAAAGCCTTTGCTATCACATTTCCTTCTGAGCTATCAGAAAATGCTGCTTAAGCTTTGTGTTTACAATTTACCCCAAACATCTTTAAGTGATATCAAATGGTTTTATTCCCTAAACAGAATCTGACAGCTGCTGCTTTGATATTTGTTCAAACCCTTTTATTGGTTCAAACCAACAAAACAAACTGACAAAAGATGCAAAATATTTTGGTTGCTGTATGCATTTCTAAATAGGCCCTTTGATTTTAGATTTGACAAATTGTCAAAAATACCATTCAGTGCAGCCTCAGCAGAGATAGGGAATTGGACCTTCCCACATCGGCAAGTCTGCGTTTTCCACTTAATTGATTTTTATTTCTAATAAGAAAAATGTGGAGGAAAATCTGAATGTTATAAGCAGACAATAGCTGCATAACAAAAGCCTTACCTGGAAGCATTCATGGAAAACTCTATCATTTCTCATTAGTTTACTTTAACAAGATGTAAGAGGTTTTTCTTGCTACTTACAATCAGCTATTTAATGACTCTCTCTCTCTCTCTCTCTC